GTTAATAACTGGGATTAGATCGTGGTCTACTGCGTCCTCTGACCTCAAAAAAAAAGTCACTCCTTTTTGCACAAAACTACTGATGAGACTCGGTCTGGAAACCAGTCTTTACTCCATTCTTTACACACTGAGAAATAAAAAAGTAAAAACGAATGAAAAAAAAAAAAAAAGGGGGGGGGTTTTTTTTGTTTATTTTATACCTTCCCCCACCCAATCCGTGATTCTAACAACCGTTCTTACGATAGTAGTGAAGCGAGTGAAGGATTTTCTAAAAAAAATAAACAAGGTTTTTATAAAGTTGACCAAAGAGTGGGTGGGTGCGGCAAGATTAAGTTATTGTGGGACGGTGAGGTGCGACCTGCCACAACATCGCGAAAACCTCGAGCTCTCAACCCTATCCACTCTAAATTGTGTCTGAGTCGCGACCAAAATGAAAGGTCCTATTACCAGATCTCGTGCTCCTGAGCAAAGAGAGGGCCGTAAGAACACAAACCTCTATACTATATTGTGGCGGTGTATGTCATGATATAGTTGAACATTGCTAGGGAGAGCAGTGGCATCCCCGTCTCTCAACTCGCCGCGAGTGCTATTATGATACTACCGTATAGTACAGCAACGGTATCATACAAGTACCAATATGAAATACTGTTGCTACGACACTGGACAGTACGTTTAACTACGGGTATGGTAAAAAAAAATTTACCACCCATCATTAATCCCCACCTCCTTCTCCTTTGCAACCCTCGCATCATTGCACTCCCACCACCACTTGTGCGTGAATTCCTCGCTCTCACGATTATCCCATGGCTTCGGGCTGAGTACATAATGCACGTTCTTGACCTCATCGTCGTTCCAAATCTCCTTGTGACACCAGCGCAAGGTCTTGAGCGCATTGTAGACGTAACTGAGCGGGACCCAGCGGCCACGGAAGGTGTCGGAGAGGAGGCTCTGGTCAGCAAAGTCGTAGTTCTGGGTGGCATCGGGGGAGTTGAGGGTCTTGACGATCTGGTCGTAAAGCTTCTGCGAGGGCTGAACCACCTGGAGGCCACCGTTGCAGATGCCCAGGCCAATGGTGCTGGGTGCACCGGTCTTGAGGGCTTCTTCGGGCGTGGAGTGTTGGGAGGTGTAACCACAGTTCGAGGGGATCCTAGTTAATTGATTAATTGAACACCTAGAGGAGGGGGGGGGTATGTTTTGTTTAGGAGAAGAGGATGGAGAGGAAAGGCGCAGTACCAATCTTTGGGATAATGAGCCTTCTTCAAAGGATTACACACGCACGCATGCGACGCTGCAAATACCCTATCTCCCTCAATATCCAGCGCTATTTCCATCAACTCATCCATATTCTTGCGGACAATCATGTCGCTATCCAATTGAATCACACGTTCGTACTCTACCAATGAGAATGGCTGCAGTTTACCTATATTCCCACCCAACCCACTTCCTCATTAACTTCTTCCCTATTCCTCGTCTCTCTTCAGTAGGAACTTGAAAGGGACTTACTCCAGCAGTCATAAAACCTAACATCATTCTCATAGTCTTTGTGCGCGCTGGGCAGCAAGTATTCGATCCGCTTGGTGGGAATACTGCGCAACTTGAGCGCTTCGTGGCCCTCCGGCTCAAGGGTGTCCGTGTACAGAACTATCAGGGGGTACTTTGACCCGACGGACTTCAAGGAGAAGTCAAGTGCCAGTAGACCCGGAAGATACTTGGTATTGGTGAGGAGAGTTGTCCAGACTTATAATTGTCAGCCCTGCACTTTCTACCGCTTCGCTCAAACTATCCGGGGGCGGGCTGAAGATGTATATACCCTTAGGACTATCGATAGTAGTCATTCTTGCTAAGATTGTGGTATGATGCGATATGATGGAAGCGAGTCTTGTAGGGCAGAATAAGAATTGGGATGGGGGGTTAGAGATAGAATAGAGGGCAAAGAGCTGGAAGGAGGACTTTTGAATGATTGAGATATTCGGATTGTGCACAAAAAATTAGGGCGGGGTTCTCGTAGCGGGGCAGAGCAGACCCTTCCCGACGGACCTCTAGATTGCCGGTATGATACTATGCAGTACACTATGATAATTATTATATTTAATACTGCCGGCATTAAGTTGCATGCCCCAGGAAGTGTGTGGGGATGGGGGTTGGCACATTGGTATAGTAACTTCCGCCTACCGGTCCAGCGTTGGAAGCCGCTCACACCGTAGACGGCGGGGCTCCAGACTCAGTGAGGAAAAAGTAAAGAATTTCATCGGGCTTTCATCGGGCTGCCGTACCGGCATAGTAGAGGTTGCTCAACTACAAGATCAAAGTAGGGTGTCTAGATAGGGAATACGCGGGGAAACGATGCCGGAGTGTGGGAAAGGTATGAATGCGGCTATGCGTTAGAATAAGTTGATATATTTAATTGAACCGAATGGGCAGGCATCCGGCGCGGTTGCTTTGCCGGATTTCGGGATACTAGAATTTCGCCAGACTCGAGAAGCATATCTCCGACGTGAATCAAATCCTCCTTCCCCCTCATTCTCCTAAACAACCGTAAGCACATCCAACCCAAACCTCAACTCGAGGAACAAGGTATCGTATATTCATATTCGGTAACAAACGCCATTACAATACATCTCTCTCCCCTCAAATACCGGTGCACAATACCCTCCCTACCCGAGCGTTGGCGGCTTTCCAGCATGCAGCACACTCCAAACCCTCACCAAGCTCTCATACCCAACCGTGTCCCCAGCCCTAAGAACCGCCGCTGCGTCCACATTAAGCGGGGAATCCCATTCAGGGCTGGCAAGCAACTGCTGCACCGACGTCAATGTCGCCGAGATCGAGCACACTGCGGACCAATTGTTCGTGAGTAAATCTAAACAAATTTCCCCCGTCTGTCACGATATTAGCAACAGCATTTCCCGCAAGGGAAGCAGAGCGAGGGGGGGGACCTTGAGGTGAACATTCGGGTGACAAATGCTCGTCAAAAACTTCATTTCGGGGGCTTTATGTGGGTAGTTTTCGGGGATCTTGATGTCGATCTTCCAGCGACCACCCTCGTACGCGGTTCCTTCCGCGCCTTTTAACACTGTGGTCCAGTGGAAGAGGTCGTCTTCCGAGACGGGACCTAGGGATTCTAGCGCGGGATTGGGCTCTTTACGGTAGTTTGCGAGTTCGTTCATGATGCGGGTTGTCGGGCTCAAGGGGGAGGAGGAGGAGGACGCCATAATTATGGCGAAAAGTTGTGGGAGTGAAACTTTTGGTGGGTTGGAGCTGTAGGTGGTTTTGGTTCACTGTTATGGTGAGTTTTGGGGAAAAGAGAGAGGAGCTGGCTGAGAAGCATGGGTGAGTTGGCCAAGCTTTTGGACGTTGGGTGGAGCCGCAAATTGGAATATCAGAAATTCATGCGCATTCTACTGGCCGCCAATTATCCATGACTCCATCACAAAAGTTCCGTGGAAACCGAACGTTGTAAAAGGAAAGAGGAGATTGTTATTTTTCGTAGACAATTATGTACCCGAAAAGAAGCATCCACATTCTCAATCTACCCCGCTGAGAAAATAAAAATAAGGGAATCACCCACAGGACCCTCCCCCCTTTTAAGTCCTCAACCCAAGCAAGATATTCGACCCGGTCCCTCCACTCCCGCCCTCACCACCCCTCCCACCGGGCAAGTACGTAACATTCGGATTATTAGCCAAAGTCTGCGCAACCTCCTTCGCGGCCTCGATCCTACGAATAAAGATCAACCCATCACCAGCCTTATCCACAGCTCTGGAGATGGTCTCGGCACTTTCAGCCTCTCCCTCGGCACGGATGACATTCGCCTGACGCTCCTGCTCGGCCTTCTCGACGATGAACCTAGCCCTCTCGGCGTCCTGCTGCGCGATCTGCTTCTGTTCGACGGCGCGAGTGAATTCACGGCCAAAGGTCATGTGTGTGATGGAGACGTCCTCAAGCGCAATGTTGAATTCCTGCGCTCGCTTGAGGAGGTCGGCACGGATGCGATTGGAGACTTGCTCGCGCTGGGTGATGAGCTCTGCCGCGTCGAATTGGGCCACGATGGACTTTAGGACCTCGTTGCCGATGGAGGGGAGGACTCGCTCGTCATAGTCTTGGCCCAGGGACTATAATAATCCATTTTTTGTTAGAGTTTGATGCTGAGAAATTGAGGGGGAGGGGAGGGGAGGGGGAAGAGAAAGCAAACCTGGTAAATCTTAGGCAAAGCCTGCACTTCAGGTCTATGCAAAACCCTCAAGGTCAAAGATACCATCTGGAGATCTTTACTCCCAGTGGTGGTAGAGATATTCCTAGGCTTTGTACGTACATCGTAGATAATCGCCTTCTGCAACCACGGTACCAAGAAATGAGTCCCCTCATTAACGACCTATTCTCCCATATCAGCAACTTTCACCTCCATCTCATCTCCAACGTCCTTCGGAAACTAGCAAACAAACCTTCTCTTTAACCCCCGTCAACCTATCAAAAATCACCGCTCTGGTTCCACCCTTGACGTCATATACGCTCAATTGAAAAAGCGAAACTCCGACAGCAGCGGGAATCGCAAGACGGGAGATGAGATTGAGAGCTCCAGACATGTTTTTCAATTAACGTTGGCAGCTATGAAGTAGCAGGGAGAACAAGAAAGAGAAACGTGTGAAATTCTAGGCCAATCTTGCATCGACGCTTTTATTCCTCAAACTCAGGGCCCAAGCAATGGTGGGGTGGATGGATGGCGGGTTACCGGCTTAGTCATGACAACAAACAAAAGAAAATACGGTAGGGAACAAACCCGAGCCGGGAAACCCCGTCGATTTCTGCTCCTTGGCTTCCATCGTTCCGCTCAACTCCATTCAACTAACGACACCAGAGTCTACACCACCACGCACTACAAACTCCCCACTCTAACCTTCTCAACTCACCTAAATAGCAAAAACAATGGGCGGCGGAGAAAAAGTTCCCGGACAGTACGTTCCCCCCACTTCCTCCCCGCATAAAACACTAGACTGACAATGGTTTCAAAAACAGGTACATGGGCTGGTGGGGCAGCCTCGGTTCCCCTCCACAAAAGGGAATAACGACCTACACGCTCTCGGCGAATCGTCAACGTCCGCTGGCTGGTACCATGCATGCGGCCGTCTTCAATTCCTGGCGCAGGTTCAAGGGTCAGGTTCTGTACGTTGCGCCGCCATTCGTTGTTGCATACTTCGTTATGGACTGGGCTGTTAAGGAGTATGTATCTTTCTTTTCCCGATAGGGTTGGATGGGGTGGGCTGATTGCGGTGATGGTTTTAGGAATCACTTCTTGAATAGTAAGGAGGGGCGTAAGCTTCATGGAGCTGAGGAGGATTAGAGAGGAATTATTGGATTGGCTAGGTTTGTGAGCTGGGTGGAGCGGCTCCGGGGTTTTCTTTTGATAAATTGATGATTGATGGACGGGTGGATGGGTGTGTTTGCCCAGAGGGTTCCTGCGGGTGTTTGTGGTCAAATCAGACACCCCCGAGGGAACTCAGCTTACCTAGAGAATCGAAAATTAACCTCTTTGTTTTTTTCGTATGAGCCGCTCTAATATTGAGTTTCTATGTCACAGAGAAATACTACTGATACGGCCGACCAGTGAGGAAAGTTGAATGCTACTGAGATGAAACTTCAGACTCATTCCAACATCATCACCAATCAACTTTCAGTGTGGCATGACACCGAACTTGATGGCTTCTTATGATAACATAATATATATGCCTGCCCCCAAATATTAGCACTCCTGCCTAACCAGGAAACCCCACTGCTGCGGTATCATATCACAACTGTGGATCCTCCGACTCTTCCCACCCCTAATCATCTTATAAATGAGCTCCCGGCCTCCCCCACCGTCATTCCGTAGACCCGGGTAAACAGCTCCGCCCCGGAAGCTGTCGGGGGCCCCGGACGATGAGTTGGAGACTGAAGGCGAGTTAATACTAATTTGAAGAATATATGAGACGGCGCTTCATTAAAGAAAGAAACAAAAAGTGCTTATTGACTTGTCCTCCTACTCATCAGCGTACCCAAAAGCTGTCCTTCTTATAGTAACCGGCCATATCTATGTACATCAACATGACTCTTGTCAATCCCTCAATACCGATGTCCTAAGAGGTGCGACAGGTGCTCGTCATCACATTGAAGTCATATATCCGACAGAAAAAGCCCCGAATCCCTTCTCGGTGTTCAACAAGACAAATGCGCCCACCTCCTTGAACTTCGGATGGACAGGTCAGACGCCAAAGGCTTAAAGATGCTATAGCAGATATCGGTGAGTCCGACCTCCTAGACTAGTGCCTCGATGTGAGCCATGATGTGGAACTCGCACCTGATGGTAGTCCCCCCACGTCCACCAGGTCGTATTGCCTGTAGATTCCACGTGACTCCCTGAGTGTGCCGTCGCCGTTGGGCAGCCCCATCTTGCACTCCCCGAGGTATTCCCCCGGTTTGACGGATCTGCAGGCTGTAGGCTTCGAGGATGAGATATCCCTAGGGTGATTGCGCTGGCCGGATGTGGACGAAACGGAATGAACCTTTTCCCCCAAGTCCAGGAATGCTCTACATCTTCGACCTGGAATTTCACGGCTGATGGGATCACGAAAGTAAGAGAGAAAAAAGATCGAATCGGTGTATATAATACGAGATTAGACTACCCACCAATCTTGCTGGATGGGGCTCAGATCTGTTCACGTAAAGTAAACGGAAGGAGCACCACTCCTTGATCGGTCCTAACTGTCCATATTACCGTGATATCGTAGTTCCTATGAAATATCGAGGAATTGCTGTGGATTAGGCTAAACGCAACTCCCCATCCAGCAGAAAAATATCTGCATGGTGCAAGATACCCGATCCGTTTCCAGCTACTAGTCTCTAGGTGATCCAGCAGTGCAATGAATGCTCGAAACCAAGCCGTTTTGAAACATACCTTTCCTATCATTTCACAACCAATGTCAGTTTTCCTCCACCATCCTAGAGGAAAATATACTACCAGGGTATGATACTTGAAGTTTAAGTTAGTTAGTAAGTATTATATAATGCGAAGATTCAACCTGAATCACTATTTCCCCTCAGGTATCATAGCGAATTACTCCTCCAATATGGAATGCGATTTTCTTTAATTTAAACCGCTTTACTACTGATTTCTCTGCTAAATTGTTGGACAGCTCTGTTATAATATTAGGTGGTTATTGTATTTTTTCTTATTTTCCTCCGAACTGACAGATCTGGGGATAATTTTTTATCGATTCTCTTTGTTTCACTTTTCACTTATTCCCTGCTCTCCCATATATGTAGTAGACAATACTACCGTGGCCAAGCTGAAGTTGGACACCTACGCTGGTAATTCCCATAGAAAGTGACCAACTTCAACTCGGCCGCGAGAGTATATTGGCCTCTGGTATTTTCCAAGTTTGTATACCCTGTGATACACAGGAGTGACCACTTGTCCAAACAGATCATCTTTCATCCACATCCCGCCCGCTGCGCACACTGATACCGCAGACACCTGTGGATCTCTATTTCCGGGTTAACAGTACTGCCGCATGCTACTGCTTTCCTGCTCCAAGTACCATGTTGAGAAAGATTGTATCTATTGTACTAACTGCCGTGATAGTGAAGTAACAATAATAGGCAAAATATATCTTGAAGACTTTTAGATTATCCAAGCTTGCACGCTCTCTCTGACAAGAAGGCAGAAACTACCCCTTTATATACACTTTATCGTTACACGAGTACCGCCCCATACCAAGGAGATCTAAACAAGATACCAGAATATACTAGTATAGGAAATAGCGGTTCTCACAACACTACCACCATCAATTACAGCCAACCCGACACAAACTCGTCCAGGAAGTATGGCGAAATTTTGCAATGTCTATACACGTCTGCATACAGGGAGCACCGAAATCGTGTCCGTGAGCCAGTCGAGGGAACATGCACCTGGGTTACGGAACACCAAAAGTTTAAGGACTGGCTGGGAGGGAAGACATCCAATCTGCTCTGGCTATCGGCGGACCCAGGTTGCGGGAAATCCGTTATCGCTTCATTCCTTGTAACGCACCTGCAGGATCGAGAGGACTCCACCGTTTGCTATTTCTTCTTTAAAGATGACAGCGACTGACAGAGGAGCGCAACATTTGCTCTTTCCGCCATACTACATCAACTCTTCAAACATAAGAACAACCTCTATACATACGCCGAGAAAGAGTTTGAGGAAAAGGACAAGAGATTTGCGGAGGAGGTCGAGACGCTGTGGGAAATTTTGGTCAAGGCGGTGGTCAAGGGGGGGTGCGGCGATGTAATTTGTGTGCTAGATGCCCTGGACGAGTGTGAAGAAGTGTCTTTCGCTCAACTCATCGGCCATATAAATCGCCTCACGAAATCACAAACATCCAATGCACCTTTGAAATTTCTTGTCACCAGTCGCCCGTACCGCAGCATCGAGGGAAGACTTGGCTCACCCGCAACGACAATCCGGCTGAAGGGGGAGGACGAAGTAAACGCGATTACTAACGACGTTAATCGCGTAATAGATGAAGGCATTAAAGACCTGGAGTCGGACTGGGGCGGACTGGGGAGCTGGGATATTTGCGAGATCTCCTCAAATCTTCTGCCGATCGGACATTCCTCTGGGTTTCTCTTGTTTTGCAGATTTTGAAGGAGAGTGAGGATGACTCACACGAGGAGTTTACTAACATTACCTGTTCTTTTCCATCCGATCTAGCAGAACTTTATACCAAGATTCTTAACAAAAGCAGGCACCCCAAAAAAGCCCGAAGAATCCTGAATATAGTGGTAGCTGCTGCAAGGCCTCTCACACTTCGAGAGATGTATGTCGCGTTCAAAATCACGCGGGATCACAAGTCGATACAGGACCTCGAGCATCCGCCTCCTCAGTTCGGAAAAACGATAAAATATTTGTGCGGGCTTTTCGTGCGGATCATTGATTCGAAGGTTTATCTCGTCCACCAAACGGCAGGGGATTTCCTGATTAAAGGAACATCATCTGGCCAGGGGAAGTGGCAACATGCCCTGAGTGCCGTGGATTCAGACTTTATTTTGGCTGATATTTGCCTCTCTTACCTTTCACTACAAGACTTTAAAAGCGACCGCTCAGCACTGTTTGATACGAGCAGAAGTGCTAGAAGGGAGGCTGTCCACAAATATGCCCTTCTTGATTACGCAGCTAATCATTGGGTTGGCCACTTACAAGGTTCACAGGATCGGCAAATGGAGCTATTCGAGCTTACACAAGCGATTTGCAAGCCTAGGTCCAATAGATTTCTCACATGGCTCAAGGTCTACTGGGAAAATGAGGACTGGCGTCACCCGTTCCCTAATGACTTTTCACCTTTGATGATCGCATCGTGGCTTAGGCAGGGGAAGATAGTCGAGCGGCTGTTGGGGGAAGAACAAGGCATCAATGCTCGATCTGGATATTATGGGACGGCATTGAACGTAGCAGCTCTTCGGAAAGACGAGGATATCGCTCAGATGCTGCTGCAGAAGGATGTCAATTCCAATATATTTGGGAAGGAGTATAACATTTTGCGAGTGAAGAGGCCTCTCGATCTGAAGTGACTGGTTTAGAACTGATAATAACTTATCGTTTCTTGACAGACGGTATGTGAATTTTGTGCGATCAGAGGCAGGTGGTGCTGACCCAGGACATTCCCCGCAATACAGAAGGCAAGTTGAAGTCCTTGATCATGTCTCATCCGCGCCGTCGTGTTGCTGATTTCAGAGGCTTAGGAAATGCAGAGAGTAAGTGACTGTATTATAGATGTTGGCACGCGTCATGACTAACTCAAGATCGGGCAATGGGAGCAGAGTGTAAGTTAGCACCTCCAATACCGGGGAACAAAAGAGGAATGTTTGCTGATTTGTGAGGAGATGCAGGAGGTATGGGACTCTGGAAAGAGCACAGATGACCAGAGTGACAGCTAATTACAGAGCCGCGAGGTGTTGTATAGCTTGTGCGTAACCGGGCCAAACAAACTTAAGACGTGAGGCGATTACTAACCTCTTGCTCGCTAATTGTTCTAGGTTGTAAGTGAACAGGATCAACCACGGTTCCGGGCGGTCAATTGCTAACCACTGATTCGCTGAGTGTTGTAGGATGTGAGTGAACAGGATCAACCACGGTTCTCGGGTAAATCAATTGCTGACCTCCGGCTTGCTGAGTGTTGTAGCAAGTAGGTGAACAGGATCAGCGAGGAGTCAGGGCCGAGGTAATTGCTAATCTCTGGTTCGCCGAGTGTTGTAGGAGGTAAGTGAAGAGGATCAACCACGGTTCCGGGACGAGGCAATTGCTGATCTCCAGTTCGACGAGTGTTGTAGCCAGTAAGTGAACAGGATCAACTACAGTTCCAGCGCTAAGCAATTGCTAACTTCTGATTCGCTGGCTGTTATAGATTGTAAGTGAACAGGATCAACCACGGTTCTGGGGTGAGGAAATTGCTAACATCTAGTTCGCCGAGGGTTGTAGATTGTAAGTGAACAGGATCAGTCATGTTTCCGGGATGAAGC